AAAAAAAAAAAAAAAAAAAAAAAAAAAAAAGGAGCCCCTGGGCCCCCGAGGAGGCTTGGGAGTCTCACTTTGAGAAAACACAGGACTGGCGATGACTCAGGATTTCAGATGCAGTCTCAGGAAATCAGTATATCTTGGCCCCCAAATCGACTAGCCCACCAGAGTTGGCGGGACAGCCCTGGTACAGGATCCTGCCTATCTAATCCCACCCAAATCTCCAGGACTTCAGATCTTCTAGGTTTCAGTTTTTCAGTGTGCATGTGTATGTGCTCTCTCGTTCACGCAGCATATGAATCAAAATCTCAAACTCTCCCAGCGGAGAGTGCAGGATGGCAGTAGAGATGGGAGAGCATTTTCAGCACCAGACGATGGACAGCACCAACACAGGAAGGAGTGGGAGGCAAGAGGAGGAGCCATCATTTGGTGAGGGCTGGCCCGGCCTCCTATCAACACCAACAGGTCGCCTAGGACTCCGCTCCAGGAGTGGGTGAAATATGGGGAATGGGGAGGAAAGAGAGCACGGAGAGGGAGGGGTAAACGCCCAGAGGGGCAAGGATTGATCAGAAGCCCGACCGCTCCATTGCCTACTAGTGTAGGTCCTACTACTGAAGCTGTTCTTGGATTCGAGCTGGAGATCTCCTGGATAGTGTTTCTGGTGTAGTCGTGGCAGGCGTCAAATGCCTCACTGCGCAGACGCGGAAATAATTTACAACAGTCTCCTACCTATTGGCTACTTCCTCCTCAAACTGGCAATCCCACTATTCAATCATAGAGCGTCCCTATTTGTTCCGCCTATTCCTTGCCGGAAGTTGACTACTGCCGAATCCACTTTGGCGAGAGTTCACCAGTAGCCAATTAGAAAAAGGGGCGGGGAGAACTGGCGCTGCTAACAGCCAATGAAGGGTGGCGAAGGATGACGCTATGGATATGGCGGCCGCAATCGGCCTGCGCGGGTACGTGTCAGGCTGCCGGGTAACCTCTGTCCGAACCCAGGGAGAGGAGCAGCTGTCTTACTAGTATTTGTACTCGCGAGGCAGTGCAACCGGTCCTCAGGGAGAGCAAGCGTCGCGACCATGGCTTATCACTCGGGCTACGGAGCCCACGGTGCGTGAGGTGTGGGGCGGGCGGGGCGCGTCTTGACAGAGTGGAAGAAAATCGGCTGCGGGCCCTCTCACCCTGAGGGAGAGGGGCGGCCGTCACCGCTGCCCAGGGCGGGGGGTGTCACTTTGGTTCCTGCCCCGCGAGACTGCAACGCGTCGTGGACTTAGCTCTTTCTGTGCAATCCTGAGGTAGGGTGGTGATCGCGCAGCTGGGATCCCCGCATCTGACCCGGCACGAGTGGAGTTGTCTCCAGAACTTCCTTTCCCTGCTCTCCAAAGCTTTGCTCAGAGATCACACCCCTTGAGAGGGCCCCACTCCCCCTGAGAAATCCCAGACGAACAGCCCTCCTTTGCCTGCATATAACAAAGGGTTTCTCGGAAACGATCTCATCAAAATTCTTTCTGAATTAGCTACTCGTAACCCAGCCTGGCTTTCCCTCACTGTTACTATTGCTTAGTGTCCCGAGGACCCACTCAGGGCTGCTCAGCCAGGGGCTGGGACAGTTTAGATTCTTGCTTGATATTCTCATCACCTACTCTGGTACCTCCACATCCACAGGTTCCAAGCACAGGGCCCGAGGAGCTCCAGATCCCCCTCCTCTCTTCGATGACACAAGTGGTGGTTATTCCGGCCAGCCTGGGGGATACCCAGCCCCGGGAACTGATGTGGCCTTCAGCGTCAACCATTTGCTTGGTGACCCAATGGCCAACGCAGCTATGGCCTATGGCAGCTCCATTGCATCCCATGGAAAGGACATGGTGAACAAGGAGGTGTGGCCTGCCCCTAGGGAAAGGGTGGCAGGATTTCTGGTGAGGGCTGGGGCTTCACAGGATCCCACATGATCCTCACAGCAGCGCTCAGGGAAGGAGCACACAGAGAAGCACCCTGAAGCTTTGGTGTGGCTTGCCCACAGCCTCCTCTCTCCCCTCCCAGCTGCACCGTTTTGTGTCTGTGAACAAACTCAAGTACTTTTTCGCTGTGGACACAGCCTATGTGGCAAAGAAGCTAGGGCTCCTGGTCTTCCCCTACACACACCAGGTGAGCTACCTACTAGGTGAGCTGTAGGCCTCCCTCATCCCCCATGGTCTCTCCCCTAGACTTCAACCTTCTCTCCTCTTTTCTCCTCTGTTTCTCCTGACCTGGCTGCCGCTGCCACTGCCAGAACTGGGAAGTACAGTACAGTCGTGATGTGCCTCTGCCCCCACGGCAAGACCTCAACGCCCCTGACCTCTATATCCCCAGTGAGTCTCTGATCAGGGCAGGGGCCACAAGGGGACTACTTGTGCCTTGAGGCATGAGAGAGAAGTGAGAGGGTCAAGTGTTGATCCGGCATCTGCTCCTGGTGCTTTTTGTGGTGGATGCTAGGTGCCAGGTAGACTAGGTTGGGTGACCAGTAAGGAACTTCCTGAATGTGTCTGTGTCCCCACAGGACCCTTTGCAACCTTCCTGCCTGTTAATTTGAACTGCATCTCTTTCCTGCCTGGAGCCTTGGGTTTACACTTGGCCCTGCTACTTGCAGCTGTAGGACTTTAGGCTGGTTTTTGCATTCTTCAGTAAAACCAGAAAACAGCCCCTACCCCAGAGGGTTGTTGTGGAGATTCAGGGAGGTGAGGTGTCCAGCACTGCACCTGGCATGTAAGAAGCACCCAGTAACTACTACTCCTGTGATTATTACCCATCTTCTGAAGTCCACTCCTATATTTCTACCTCTAGGAAGCCTGCCCTGATGGCCTGAGCAAGGGATCGTTCCCTTCTGGGGCCCTACAACTGCCTGTCTTCTTGGCATTAGTTAGTCTACCTACACTGCTGTTAGGGAGGTCAGCCTGTCCAGGTGGCCCAAAAAGGACACAAGCCCTTCCATCTTTCACCCCATAGTCTTGGTGTAACGCAGGCATCACATCTCCACCTCACATGTTAAAGCCAAGGCTCAATAGAACTTTAGTATCTGAGGCTCACAGCTTATAGGTGGCAGAGCGGATTTCCTGGCTCCAGACACTGTGCCCTCTGCTGGGCACCTCAGTTAGTGCCTTAGGAGAAAGAGGACTAATGAATGAGTTTAAGTTGCTGCTGAAGCCTGGTTTCCACCGGCTCCGAGCTCTTAGAACTCCTCAGAGTTGCCTTGGAGTTCTCTGTGTG